CTACAAAAAAGTAACACAAAGAAACCAATAAAAAAGAAAGAAAGAAAAGGTATGTTGAATTCGTCGGTTCAACTTGTTAACTTTCTTGCATGTTTGGATCTAACAGAGTCAGATCCGAAGGGTGTTAACTCTATTGTTTTGGATGACGGTCGCCCTGGTTGTCCAGTTTGATCTGTAGCCATCCTTTCTTGAAGCCCAACAGCTGCATTCATGAAATGGGCCACAGTGTTTATGACACATTTACCAGCACCATGGATCGGGATGCCCAAAGGCATATGCTCTTCTCCCAAATGGACTTTCATGCTTTTAAGTGTGGCACAGAATTATGCTTCCCTACCCAATCCTTTTTTTTTTTTAACGAAGAGAGCTCTGATGAGGAAAGCAACCTCTCAAAACCAAGAGTGAGGTCGTCGCTTTACAGTTTGTAATTTTCGGTTGGCTCTGGCCATAATTCCTTGGCGGGGTGCTTTCTAGCCCGCTCGTATTGTAAAACCGAGCGCTGAAGTTCCCGGCGTGGCCAGTGCGCCTTATTACTAATGGGCTTTTTGTGTTTTGTTTGGGCCTTTACATTTCATTCGTTTGGGTAATGCTTCAATTTATCTCTGGCTGCCGGGCGCATCCCAAGCCAACGAAAAAATTTGGGGGAGTGGCTTTTTCTTTTTGGGAACGGGGAGGGTGTGTTCGGAAAGGGGGAAAGCGCACGGTTAAAGACTTAGAAGGCTATGCTCAAGCTCAAACCAAACTTCGAGTATCATGTAAATTATCTCAAGTAACACACTTCGATGCAAAACAATAAAATGTTTGATAAGAAATAAAAAGACCAAAGTTTGTCACGTGAAAACGTTGTAGCGGTTGCTTGGATCCTGCCTGAGAAGCCAGTACTTGACAAACAAGGGATTATGGTCTGAGCAAATAACACATAACAGAGTACAAAACACAGGCATTTTCTAAGCAAATATTGCAGTCAATCTAGGTTTCTTTTTGAGGAGCCTTCTTGGCAGCCTCTGCAGCTGCTTTCTCCTCCTCAATTTCAGCAACAATTGCATCAATTTCAGCTTCTTCAAGTTGCCTCAGCCCATCTTTTTTCGTCATCACAGCTACTTCTATATTCTTCCCACCACTCTCAACGACCTTAATACATGACATTAACAAGTCAAAAGCGTGTGTATTTAACTCAACAGATCAATAATTTACTCCACAAATAAAGCGACAATGCCCAAAAAAAAAAACAAACGAAAGGCTAAAACCCATCTGAAAATGGTTAAAGGCAGCTTTTTTGGGCTCCATTATGGTAATTAAACATGTAATCTGCTCAATACGCTTTGTCACTCAACGTTGAACTAAGAAGTTCACGGTGGCAGTCTCAAAGGAATTCAAAACGGATTATTAAATATAACATTTCAAAAACTTTATGAGCTCTGTAAAACATTTAATTGGTGCAGCTAAATCATGGTTAAATATGAATGGGTCGAAAAAGAAGAGAGCAATGCTGAATTCCAAGGTGATGGTCATTACTGTGAGCACAAGATGATCACAAATGGGTAACACAAGTATTTAACAAAAAGAATTCCCGTAAGACTGCATTACTTGTTTGTTAACCATAGCTGCTAGGAAAAATTACTCCCTCAAGGACCTTTCTATGCTTTAGGCTCACGGAAATCTGGAAAGAGGAATTGAGAGGGCCTTTTGCAAAGGATGCGAGGATGACAGTTGTTATACAATACAATGATCTTCTCAGAAAAATCTAGGATAAACATAGGAGTATTCACAACTACAGCATATGAAGCTTCCCTGTGCCTGCCATGAATATAACAGCAGAACAAAAACAGGAGATAAACAAAAATTAGGAAGTCCAAATTACATTTACGTGAAATGTACTGCTATATTCCAACAACACCCTAAACCCATAAACCAATTAGGCATCCTTCCCTCTGTCCAAAAGGCCAGAAAAACAAATGCAAACACAGGATCATAGAGCCATCTTTTTTTTTTCCTCTTTTGCCAATAAACCATGACCAAATTTAGCCTCAGAGCATGATAAGCAGGAGCTGCTTAAAATTTACAAGAAATTCCCAACAAGGGCATGCCAGAGATATTTTGTTATTTCATTCAATGATTTTGCTTGTCAATGCTTTAGGCAATGCAAGTTGAGTTTTAAGTTGTATCCAAAGTGCTCAAAAGCTTGCCTGTTAGAGATGCACAAACCAATACAGATTTAAGTGGTTACAAGCAAAAGAATATAAGCCACAACCATGTGCTTGCTAAGAATAGTAGATCAGATGTTGCACAAAATCCAAATGAAAAGAGTTAAAAAGTCATAGAGTAATATAGAATAAGCCGAAAAAAATTCCAAGACAGCAGCAGCATACGACAAACATAAACAAGGCATTTGCTATTTTGCTGGGATGACTTACTTCAAGCAATGCACGAATAGCTAGTTTTACAGTTTCTTGGCCAGCTGTTTCCTTGTAATTCTTCTCCAGAAACTCCCTGATAGAGTTTGAGTTTCTCCCAGTTGCATTGGCTTTCCACGCTGAAAATGTTCCTGAAGGATCTGTCTGATATAACGCAGGGACACCTGTGTATGGGTCAAAGCCAATTATCAAAGTGGAAAGGCCAAATGGTCTTACACCACCACTTTGTGTATACTTCTGCTGAAGTCCAGCGATGTAGCGCGTAATATACTCAACGGTGACCGGATCCTCAACTGTAAGTCTATGACTTTGACATTCAATACGTGCCCGGTTTATCAAAACACGAGCATCTGCTTTCAGTCCAGCACAGGCCAATGCAATATGATCATCTAAATTCACAATCTTTCTAACCGATCTGAAAATAAGAACCACCAATTAAAAATATTCAGCAAGAAATCTAAGGCAGGCAGAGGGCAAACAATATATATAGTGCAACCATGTTTCAATAACTAATAGCCATTGCATACTCACTTCAAACCTAAAATCATACTAAGCAAGAGAATTAACAAGCAATAAAACACACTCACATGCACACAAAGAGGAAACGGGCTTAGCCAAGAAATTTTGGCTGATTAACACAATTTCACAAGTACTTCAAGAAGAATGAGCCAGGTTCCTCAGTAATCAATTTATACACAAATTAAAAATTTTTCCGGATTTGTTACCCCGGCTTCACCACTGCTCCCTAAAATCAAAAAGCCCCCTTTTATTTTTTCCAAGGCACTAAAATCAAAAAGCTGACCGAGCACAGGTTAATCTTTTTTTTTTTTTTTTTCCAAACGGAGAATCATTTCAGTACAAGAAAACCCGCATCTTTCATGCAGCCTTAATCAATAGATCAGATTAAAATTAGATTCCCTAGAAAAAAAAACTTCAATTCCAAAACCCTAAAGCCTAAACCCAAATTAGCTTGGTAACAGCCCACAATAACCAACCAAAAGTTGCTCCGACTAACAGGGTACCCAGAATTTCGATTAAGTAACAAACCTAAACAGTAGCTATGAAGATGGAATATATAAAAGAAAAGAACAAAAAAAAAGGGATGGGTGAATGAATAGATTTGAGAAGTTGGACCTACCTGGAGTCTTGAAGCTTAGGAGTAGACTTCTTCTCGACACCAAGGACGATAGTGTCGGTTCCACGGACACCAACGGCGGCGTTTCCTTTCCGGACGGCCTCGAGGGCGTACTCCACCTGAAAAAGATGTCCGTCGGGGGAGAAAACAGTAATGGCTCTGTCGTATCTAGCCATCTATCTGTGCCTGTATAGGGTATGCTACGTATTCGTACAGTTTTTTTTGGGGTTGGGCTTGTGGTTTGGGATCTCTGGCTCGACACTTTTAGACTTCCAGGGAAGAGAGAGAGAGGGATGAAAGCGTGAAGAAGGGGAAGAGGATTCAGAGGGAACTTGGGGGAGAAGTCACCAGTAGCACACGATGTCGTTTCCAATTACTTTTTGTACTACAAGTAACAAGTGACTAGTCCCAGTAGAACTATATAGTTTTTTTTTTTTTTTTTTTTCTTTAGCGGAAACCAATGTTTTCAAACCCGGACCGTCAATCGAACCGGTGAGGTGAAAGGGTCGAGATTCAACCGGTCGGACCGGTTCAACCGGGGTTCAATAAATAAATAAATAAATAAATATATATATATATATATATATAGACACACACACCTATGCATAGAATAAGATATAAATGCTGAACCACAATAAATATAAGAGCAATATCCAACAATTAACACACACAATTAACATAGTTATGAAACTTACATGTCCAATTGTCTAAATATTAAAATTAACAAAAAAAAATACAAGTCTAGAAAACAATCAAAAGGTCCAAACGAGTCCAATTTCTGAAGCTTCTATAATCTTCTTCATAATTCTGGGACAACAAAGCTTCAAAAAAAGCCATCTTGACAAGTCATCATCATCATCCAAGACCATTATATGAATCACTGACAAGTGATAAAAGTATAAAATCATATTAGTTTCATCACACCAACTGATACAAATCTTAAAAATAAAAATAAAAGAGTACAAATAATTCTATACCAATTACCATTTGAACATTTAATGCCAATCATCATCTTCATCATTAAAAAAGTTTCGACGCTGAAATGTTTCTAAATCAACATCTTCTGCTTCCTCTTCATTATCTAAAAAATCAACATATTTAATTATATACATATTCAACAATTGAATATCATATCATACTAGCTTTATTTTTGCATCAAACTAATGATTTATGTCAAACTAACCTTCAAGTTGTTCAGAATTTGAACATTGACCATGAATTGGAAGTTCTTCAAGCTCTTCCTCTAACTCCTCATAATCAAGCTCCCCTTCTTGTTCTTCTTCAACCACCCAAAATTCTGTTTTATCAATTGACTCATAATCAACGGGATCATACGATCTCTTTTGCTGATTATGCCTACAATATATATATATACACACAACATATACACTTAGTTAGTACTAAAATATTTTCTTAAAAAGAATGAAATGTCATTTATAAAAATAAACCATTTACATATACCTATACTGCAAACGCAAATTGTAATGCACATATACAAGATCATTGAGCCTTTGATGCTCCAACCTATTCCTTTTCTTAGTATGAATACGTTCAAAAACACTCCAATTACGCTCACATCCTGAAGAAGAAGCTGTTTGACTCAAAACCCGAATTGCAAGTTTTTGTAAGTTGGGAGCATCACAACCAAAGAGCTTCCACCAATTCTCTGTCATATTCAAAATTTAAATATAAACAAAATATTTATAAATTAGATATATATATATATATATATATATATTAGAGAGATTCAAATGCTAGAAAAATATAAATTACCTGGTCTATCTTTCTTGCTAGTAAGAATAGCAAGTTTTCTGCCAAAACTTCCCTCCCGCTCTCGATACATTCCAATTTCTCTTGTTAAATTTTCCACACTACACCAATCCACCTTTGATTCTATGTAATCCAACAAACCATTTGTAATTTCTGGATGTGTAGAGAATGTGGCGGTGTCATATTGAAAAGCGGGATTTAAAAAATATGCCGTAGCATGCAAATTTTTCCTCAACATCCTATCCCATCGGTCATTGATGATATCAATGTAAGGCTTATATAGTCTTTCACTACTCCTGAACAACTTCTTGATTCCAGTAATTGCTCTAAACATACCTTCATACACATACCCCAAAGAAGGCCTTTCATCAGTGTCACAAACTCTCAACAACCGAATAATAGGACCCATTATTCTCACCGTAATCAAACAATTATTCCAAAATCTATCATCCAAAACAATTTGTTTGACCTCTTTTCCTTTGTTCATTTTCAAGAACTTTTTGTAATCTCCGCTAGTGACTAAAGCTTGTAAGCTGTCTTTGTGATCATGTAAGCTCTTTAGTGCAATAAAAGTGGTGGCAAATCGAGTCTCCCCCGGACGAATAATCTCCCTCCACCCATTAGTTTTTCTCAGCCAATTTAGAACATATTTATGATTATACACAAAAACAGTTACTGTAGCAGCAAGAGCCACTAGAGATTTAACAGTACCCATTTCACCAATATCCTTCAAAATCAAATTGATACAATGGGCAGCACATGGAGACCAGCAAATAGTTGGATATCTTTCATTTAATAAAGTTCCAGCAGCCTTATAATTGCTAGCATTATCAGTGACTAAATGCACCACATTTTTTGAACCAACCATTTCAACAATTTCAGCAAACAGATTGCACAAATTTTCTGCATTTGTCACAATGTCCGATGCATCTATAGACTTGATAAAAGATATACCCTTAGGACAATAAACCAGAAAATTAATCAATGGTCTTTGTCTACTATCTTTCCATCCATCACCCATTATAGTGCATCCAGCACAAGAGTAGACATCAAAGGTGTAACCTCATGAAAAGAAGCTTTAGCCCACAGCACCACATTGCCAAATGGGCACATAGTCTTCTGACAAATCATATTAGCACGTTGCATGACTGTTTAGAAAGGCATTTACCTCTGTCCTTTCCTCAAATTTGAGGAACCAGTGAATCATCATTTTTATTATAAAAGCCTCTTGCTTTTCGCATCCAGTATCCAGAATCATTTTTCCTAGGCTCCTTACATCTCTACAAACTCTTCATCCTCCTGTCGTCTCTCTACTTGAATAACCAATTCAAAAAGTGATGTTAACCAGGAGTAGAACCCTTCCCTCAAGAATTTATAATGGTGTTGTAAGTTGATTTTCGGAACGTACCAATTTCAGTGTGATAAAAAAAAAAAAAAAAATTCTTTTGTTCTCTCAACTTTTCTAAAGCTACCCGTCTGTTCCATTCTTTAGGTTGAAGAGAGGCAAGACTTCAGACACTATTTGCAGGTGGAAGTCCAACCCAAACCTCAACAGGAAGCTGAAGCAATTAATCTGCAAGCTAACTATTCCAAGTGCTTTGATGATGATGGCCGGTTAAAGAGAACAGGTAAACATCCCAACAAAAGTGGGCAGATGAATATAATACTTAGAATACGCCGTGCAGATTAGACATTGGGATTAAATTTAATACTGGAAAACTGATGAATTTACTACCAGTCCCTCGCAAATTACATCTCTCATATTACATACAACCGACTCTACGTGTCAGTCTCTCAAGAATTAATTGCTCAATCATCATCATTTGCCATTAAGCAAGCAGATGGTAGACCAGTATTACCCATTGAATGCCACCCAACATACCTAATAGGCTATAACGTTTGCTGATGCAGGAACTCTTTGGACTGCAACATCCCATATAATCACAGCCGTCATTGGCTCCGGTGTGCTATCATTAGCATGGGCTATAGGACAACTTGGGTGGGTTGCTGGACCAACTGTCATGCTTCTTTTTGCTTTTGTAATTCTCTACACGTCCAACCTCCTATCACAGTGCTATAGGTCTGGGAATCCTGTAACTGGACCACGGAATTACACTTACATGGATGCTGTCAAGGCAACCTTAGGTAAAAAGACGTACAAGAATAACTTTCCTAATTCTTTTAAAGTTATTAGTCATTTAATATCAGATTCCTAACGTGACGTTTTTGGATTGCAGGAGGGAGAAAAGTAAAAATCTGTGGACTAATTCAGTATATCAATTTATTTGGTGTGGCTATTGGCTACACAATTGCAGCATCAGTCAGCATGATGTGAGTTGGCAGTGTGAAAATTATACTAATATACCAATTGATATGCTCTTCTATCTAACCAATGCATCAAAATATGTGGAATATCATGTCAGATACTAACACACAGTGGAACTATACTATGCACTTGTCTCTTTTGTGAAACAGGGCAGTAAAAAGATCAAATTGCTTCCATGAGAGCAATGGTAAAGATCCCTGTCATATGACAAGCAATGGATACATGATTACCTTTGGAATCATTGAAATCATATTCTCCCAGATCCCTGATTTTGACCAAGTATGGTGGCTGTCCATAGTTGCAGCAGTTATGTCCTTCACATACTCTACTGTTGGTCTTTCTCTTGGCATTGCCAAGGTTGCAGGTGCACACTATACTGCTCTCATTTTGACATGACCAAAGACAAAAATTACTATTAAAAGCAGAAGTGTGAATTTCAATTATATATATTATCTCGTTTGCAACTTATGACTAGATGTTTGATATGCATTTCGAAAGCTTATTTACACATGTATCATATGGCAGTTATACCACCAAGATGTTTGTTTTGCAACTAAAGCATGCACTTCTACTTTATTTACGTTTGTCTGATTTATGCAAAAAAAAGGGATCTAGTTTATGTTCCTAATTAGATCATTTAGTTCCAGGTTCTGGAACAATCACCTTACTATGCAGACATCAATCTTTTTCTTTATTAATTTGTGGCAGAAAATAAAAGTTTCAGAGGAAGCCTAATAGGCATCAGCATAGGTACCATAACACACGCTGGAACAGTTACTGCAACACAGAAGTTATGGAGGAGTCTACAAGCTCTAGGAGCCATAGCATTTGCATACTCTTACTCCATCATCCTCATTGAAATTCAGGTTGACTGTATTCCAGGTTCTCCCTCTACAAATGATAGTTTCCTTCCAAATTTAGTTCAGAACAATTTTCAATTCAGAAGTGCTGATGGAAAAACTTCATGCACCCCCCGTAGGATACCATCAAAGCCCCTCCAGCTGAATACAAAACCATGAAGAAGGCAACTCTAATCAGCATTGCGACCACAACCGTATTCTATTTACTCTGTGGATGCATGGGATATGCTGCATTTGGGGACGATGCTCCAGGAAACCTTCTTACTGGTTTCGGATTTTATAATCCATATTGGCTATTAGACATAGCTAACGTAGCCATTGTCATCCATCTTGTTGGTGCCTATCAAGTAAACCCATGCAACCACTCGTTAACATATCCATACTTCGCTTCAAACACTAATATCATCTATAATGCTTAAAACTCACTTCCTTCAGTCAGACTATCTATAAGGCATATAAGATAGAATGTTGCTCACATAGCTACATGACTGAGAAAATGCAGGTCTACTGCCAGCCGTTATTTGCATTTGTGGAGAAATGGAGTGCACAAAGATGGTCAAATGGTGACTTTGTAACGGCAGAATATGACATACCTATCCCTTTTTATGGCGTGTACCAGCTCAATTTTTTCCGGCTGTCGTGGAGAACCGCTTTTGTAATTGTTACTACTATCATCGCCATGCTCGTGCCTTTCTTCAATGATGTTGTCGGCATACTGGGAGCTCTAGGATTTTGGCCATTGACAGTATACTTCCCCATCGAGATTTATGTTGCTCAGAAGAAGATTGGGCGATGGACAACTCAATGGATTGGTCTACAGATATTAAGTGCAGCTTGTCTCCTTGTTTCACTATCTGCAGCAATTGGTTCCGTGGCTGGTTGTCGTTCTTGAACTCAAAACATACAAACCTTTAAAACTAGCTATTAGGAGGAAAAGATCGAGCAAAGGAGGAGGATATAGAAGCATTTTACCTGGACTGAGAAAAGCAGCATGTACTGGTTACTAATCTATAAAGATGAAGGGATGTACTATAAATTACGAGAACATTGATGTATCAAAATTACAGAGGGCTTCGACGGGGTGGATTGGATGGCAGTCATGCAATCATCAGTCAACAATGAACGTTAATATAAAGCGTAATTATTAGGTATAATAAGCTGCCAAAAAAAACCCCCGCATAAATCTAAAATATGGTTTTAGACCAATACTACACAGGTGCTTGTAAGAGCTTTTTTCGCTTTTTAATTTTTTAACTTGCTATTCATCATGGATGATCTATTTTCTACAATTCGATTCAAGTTTTGGACTAAAGATACACAAGTTTACCGTAGCTTGATTACAAAACAAATGCTGCCAGTTTTTGCGGCCAGGTCCATTCTTTATAAAGTCTTTCCTTAAATGTCAGTCCTAAAAAATAAACTAAAATAAGATAATAAAGAAAAAACCGATGCACCAGAGTGAGTCCTCAATCGAATCGAAATCTACTCGAGTGAGGTAGGTAAAGATCGTGTTGGATGCGGGACTTAATGCTGACCTGAGAGGGAGAATTAAAGGCAAAGGTCCAATCTCTTTATTTGCCCACCAGCAGGCACCATCCTATGTTCGATGAAAGCCAAGACAAAAGTAGTACTTTTTTAAGGATGCGTATTTAGTTTAGTAATTTACAAGGCTGGAGGACTTAATATGGCCCTCTCTACTCTTTGTCTTAGTATAATGCGCGCAGAGGCTGTTTCCAGTTCTAGTTTCTGACGAAACGACGCTGCAGCTCTGTCTTGGCAACACAGGCTTACCAGTAACACGGACCAGACCTTCATTGTCCCGTGTACATACGAAAGTCCAGCCCAAGAAACGCTGACAATTTTGCGAAGCCTAATAGTGTCGCACATGGAACTCTTTTTAACATTTTACATACCACTTCACAATACTATGATACTTGGATCCAAACGTGGGGGTTGACAAATACTACAAATTTTAAGTCGCTGGGAACCGTGACAGCAACGGGGATACTTAAGAAAGACGGTGCATCTTGTTGACAACAAAATATTTTGGTAATGGACCTTTTAGGTTGATTTTGATCGTTTGCCTTATGCTGAGTGGACACGATGCAGGATCTTAGTGACGTACCAGGACTAGGAGATTGCAAATAATTGAGGATTCGATGTGATCTACCACAATAAAATTGATGGCACACCACAATGTTCCCTGTCAAGGGCAAAGCGGAACACCCCAAAAGAGAGAGAGAGCACCTGTTACAATCCCACGCCAATACATGCTAATGTTGTTAAATTCGATCGGATAGCGATTCGGCTAAATTATTGAATTAGAAATTAATTGGTTGAATCGTTCTCGACAACTCGCTAACGTCAGCATAATGTTATATAATTATTTTATATTTTTATAAGTTTTAGAAATATTAAAATCAAGTTCTTCGTTATATTTGTTCAATCATAAAAGATGTTCCAAAAATATTAGATTTGCAATCAAATACATACTGAATAATTATATATAAAAATATAAATTCATGATTAAAATATGTCTATTCTTCAAAACTACTTGAAAAATTAAATTAAAACAAATTAATATAAGTTGAAATCACTGATGCTAAATTAATGAGATCATAGGGATAAAAATATCTTGATTTAGAGATTATTTAAGAAATCGGGTGATTTTGATATTTACATTAAATGGTTGACGTTTTCTTATTTCTACTGATAAATGAAAGTTTAAGTAACTCAAATTATATTTGAAAAAAAAAGAAAAAAGAAAAGTTTAAAAATTGAGTCAACCAGGCGAATCAGGCCATCGATTTAACCAATTTTTTATGATTTTAATTG